GTTTCTTTCTCTTGGCGTCGCGAAGAAAGCGAATGTACTCATCCACTACCTCGTGAGGGGTCTTATACCCTTCCTCGGCTACGATGCCTCCCCGTTGACTGTGTTTCTTGCGACGAGGTTTGGATTTGGACACTCGCGATTTTCGCTTGCGCCGCAGTACGCCGCCTTCAATCGTCGCGTCATCGCCTCCGCCGCCATCATCATCATCGTCGTCGTTGTCGCTGCCGGGACCGGGGAAGGTTTGGCTGGTGTGCTCGCGTTCCACTACGGGCCGCTTGCCTCGACGAACCGTGGTCACGGTGGTGGTATTGGCGATGGTTTGATGATCCCCTTTGCCTAATTTTTTGCGCAAGGCTTTGGACACGGTATCTTGATCCGCGTTCTTGAAGCGTTCCCCATGATCGTCATTAGCGTCGTCGTCATCGTCATCGTCGCCACCACCATCGCCACCGTCGCCATCGTCCCCTTCGGGGTCATCCCCGCCGTTCCTCCTCCTGTCTTGTTCGGCTTCCTTACGCAGCTGCAATCGTCGCGCCAGGGCTTTTTCCAGSGCATAGCGAATCCGCATTTGTGACGTTTCGTCAAACTTGCTTTGATCGGTGGCTTCCAATTCCTTGACGTACTCTTCCACTTCGGCCAAGTTCATCCTCTTCTCGCTTCGATTGCCTCGCCATCGACCGTCCACCCGCGTCATCACGTTCTTGATGGTGGGCGTCAAAGTGTCCTTCACCTGGGGATACTTCTCCGCCAACGATTTCAAGGCCTCGGCGTACTCGCGCAATTCCTCCTTGTTCATCTGATCCAACGTAGCGTCCGGCAACGACGTCAATCTCCTTCCACTGTCTGGCGTCCATGCCGCCAAGTTCGCCACTTCCGAAGGAGGCGATGCCGCAGGCGACGTCGAGGGTGAAAAGGTTGGCGATACACCGGGGGATCTCTCGGGAGATGGACCTGGTGACGGTTCGGGGGATGGTGGGTCCATGGCCCGGGCCAGGTCGCTTCCCGTCGACAAGGGCGTGTCGCTGGACAACACGCTCACCATGTCGTCTGGCAAGTTGAACGGCGAGCCCAACAACTGCAGCATGTCCGCATCGTAGTCGTGCGTGGGCGAAGGAGGCAACGGCGACAGGGGCGGTAGGACGGGCGTATTCATCAGGAAGCGATCGGCGGCCCGTTCGGCCGTAGACGTCGTACGGGGCGCTCGAGGAGCAACGCCCGGAGCTTGGAAGAAAGGTTCGCGCTCGGTATGCTGGCCTACACCGTAACGTAGGTATAAATCTTGAGCCCCCACACGTTCATAGGACATAACGTCGACGCACCGAATGTTTCACAGCATGGATGGAAAGTCCTATATACGCTCCTTGGCACAATGCCACCCYACGCAAGTGGTTCCTCTGCTACGTAGCGGTAGCGACGACCAATGGAAGTACATCAAAGACATGTGCAAAAAACTGGCCAATGGGGATCTCCCCATGAAGGGAGGAAGCAAGAAAATGCCCAAGGCCGCTCGACGTTGGTTCGGGTCGGTGGTCAACGATCGGCATCCCACCATTCAGAGCCTACGACGCTCTAGCCTTCAGCGAGGAGGATCCAAAGCCGAATTGGTCGGCACGGCCATCAAAGCCCTGGCCAAGATCGCGGCTCCCAGCCTCAAGAAAGCCRGCGTGAGTCTGGCCAAGCATGCGGCCGCAGGAGCTCTGGCCGAAGGCATCAACGTGGCCACGACGAAAATCAAGAAAGTAGGAGCCCCCAAAGAAGATAAAAAGGAGGAGGAGAACCCCTCGGCCGCCGAATCGCTTCAAGACTTCGATTACGACGACGGCGACGACGAATTGAAGGCATTGCTCGCTGAAACATAAGAAAAGGCATCATGGTTAACACCAAGAAAGGACGACGTCAACGCGGAGGCAAGAAACGTGCAAAGCATACTCAGTTGGGCGGAGTCAAACGAAAACGGTCTTCGTCCACCACGCCCAAGATCAAGGCAGCTCTGCGTGGAACCTTGGCTCCTGGCATTCCCGACTACGGACCCGTGACCAACCCCTTTCACAT